GGGGACAATCAACGACCTCCACGAGATCGCGAAGCGGATGGTGGCGGCCGGGTTCGGCAAGGAGTGCTCGCACGTGTACAGCACGTGCAGGAGGGAGTTTCTGGACGAGAGCTTGTCCAGGTTAGGGTTACAGAAGCTGAGCATCGAGGAAGTGCAGAAAATGCCTTGGCAAGATCTTGAAGACGAGATTGAGCGATGGATCAAAGCCGCAAACGTCGCGATTCGCATCTTCTACCCCAGCGAGCGTCGTATATGCGATCGTGTCTTTTTCGGCTTTTCCTCTGCAGCAGATCTCTCCTTCATGGAAGTCTGCCGTGGCTCTACGATTCAGTTACTGAATTTTGCCGATGCAATTGCTATTGGAAGCCGATCACCGGAGAGACTGTTCAGAGTTCTGGATGTGTTTGAGACTTTGCGCGATTTGTTGCCTGAATTTGACTCTGTTTTCTCCGATCAATACTGTTCGCCTCTTAGATACGAAGCGGTGATCATTTGGAAGAGGCTAGGAGAAGCAATCAGAGGGATCTTTATGGAATTAGAGAATCTTATACGGCGAGACCCCGCAAAGGCTGCCGTTCCTGGTGGTGGGCTGCATCCGATCACTCGATACGTGATGAATTATCTCCGGGCAGCTTGTCGTTCCAGGCAAACGCTAGAACTAGTTTTTGATGAAAATGGTGGTGCTCTTGTTCCGCCTACCAAGCTCGAAGAGAGAGGACCGTCATCCTCTTCCGTGTCGGTTCAGATGGCGTGGATTATGGAGCTGTTAGAAAGTAATTTGGAGATGAAGTCCAAGATTTACCGGGATTCTGCTTTGTGCTGTATTTTCATGATGAACAATGGAAGATACATTGTTCAGAAGGTGAAGGACAGTGAGTTGGGTTCGCTTCTTGGTGATGATTGGATTAGAAAACACAATGCCAAGGTCCGGCAATATCACACCAACTATCAGAGGAGCTCATGGAACAAGGTCTTGGGAGTGTTGAAGCCTGATAATGGCTCCATGGCTCCAAATGTTGCAGCTAAGACCATGAAAGAGAAGCTTAAGTTATTCAATCTGTACTTTGAGGAAATTTGTAAAACTCAGTCTACTTGGGTTATTTTTGATGAGCAGCTGAGAGAGGAGTTGAGAATTTCAGTGTCTAAACTTCTGTCCCCTGCATATAGAAACTTCATTGGGAGGTTTCAGAGCATTCCCGATATTGGGAGAAATCCTGAAAGGCACATTAAATACAGTCCAGAGGATTTAGAGGCACGGATTAACATGTTGTTTGAGGGAAGAAGTGGATCCTCTGGTGGCAGGAGGTGAAGCCATGAAGGTAAGCTGCTGCTGTCAGATAAAAAGTCTAGGAATTCTTTTTCTGCTGTGTGAATTTTTAGGTTAATCTAAATGATTCTCAGTTATGTACTACATGCTTGTTGTTTGTATGTATTTAGGACAGTTCCAACCTTGAATTTTGAATGAAATTCATGCATAGTCACGGGTGCTAGAATTTTATTTCAGTTTCTTGGTGAATTATTATCTTCCTGTGCTTTTTCTTTTTCTTGGAATGTGTATATAGCAAATTAAATTACATTTGAGATTACATCATTTGTTGAAATGGTGCTGTTGAACAAATAAGGAATGATGTTTTACACTGTCAAAGAAGTACCCCGTTTCTTATGTGGATGTTTAGATTTATTCTAGTTTGATTTACATGGTCTGATTTTCGGATAGTGTTCTGGTATTATGAATGTCATTTCCCCTTACAGTGTTCATTATTACTTCCATGGTTGGGAAATGATCTAATTTTCAGATAGTCTGGTATTATGAATGCCATTTCCCCAAACAGCATTCATTATTGCTTTCATAGTTGGGAAATTGGTATAAATCTTCTGGAGACCTAACTGATCAAGGGATTCAGTTTTGCATGTAGCTAGCATCTGAAAATAGCTTTTGAAATATAAAGGTAGATTGGTGTTTTGCATACTTTATCCATGTCATTCCTCTTGACCATGCATTGATGATGGGACCGAAACTAGTTGATATGCGATTGTCTCTCTTTCTTTCTTTTTTTTCTTCTTTTTTGGGTTGTTTGATTGATGAAAAACTGCTGTTGCCACACTGCTTATCTGAGCTTGTTACTTTACATGCATGCTAAGTGAATGCCACTCCATCTGGGAAAGATGATTGGAGCATTGGCTGTTTCTGCTTTCCTTGGTCTTCGGTCTTTCCTGGCTTAGTTTGATTCAAGCATTGCTCATGCTGCTATGGCCCTATGGTACTAGTTCCTTTGTTAAGTGTGTGTTAATTTCAAAATTGAATCGGGGCGGAATTCATTTTAGTAATGTGCATAGTGCATACTGATACAGTTATTGGGAAAGGAGGTCTTAGCTAGTCAAAAAGGAAAAAAAAAGCACTAGCGGAAAGCATTAACATTGTAATGGACTTTTTCTTTGGATGAACACATTGGAATAGACTTTGAAAAGTGAAAGAAAGTGGGGCACAATCCTCCCAATTTTATAGATTAATTGGATACTTTTTGAGGAATACCCGTCATTCATGCACTTTCTTCTCTGGGTAAAGGGCGAAGTAAACGTATGCTGCTTCTGTGCGATGAACACTGTATACGACCTCCGACTCCTTTCCACATATTGGTGTTGAAAATTGAAGAAAAAACCTTAACCTGTATGTCAGGTCATATTTTCCTCTTTTTTTTTTTTTTTTGGGTTTGTGTGTGTGTGTGTTAAAAACACATACAATATAACCTTTCCACCATACGATATAACCGTTATAATGGCGGAGTATCTATTGAGTGATTAAGGAAACTTGAGAATGCTTCTAATTGTTGTTTTTTCCTTATGGTCAAGGTTTGCCTTATCTAGCACTTAAGGGAACACCCTTGTGGCTCAAGAACAAGGCTCCCTCGCAAGCTATACAAATAATTGTTATGAAAAAATAAGAAGTTAATTTTAATTTTAACAATTGTCTAATTAAAGTTATTTGTGTCATTACTATTAAAAATTGAATTAAGTTTTTGTGTTTTTTTTTTATACAAATTAATAGGAGAAAAATACCATTAATACACCTTTTAACTTTTTTCCTTGAAAAAAACCCATATACTTTATATATAAGCAATGAATTAGGAAAACTTATATTTACTTTATAATAATATAATAGGGGATATATAGATTCTCATTTCTCAAATTCTTCACATTTGTTTTAAATTTTAAATTTGCGATTTGCAATTTTAAAGTTCAACTTTTTAAATTAGTATAATAAAAAATTAATTACTTGACATTACAAAAATTTAAACTCGTAATTTTAACTTTAACCCTATTTAACCCATATTGTTTGATAAATCTCATAGTTATTGATAGTAACGTTATGATTTAAAATCAAATTTTCTTACTTTTATTAAATCGTTTAATTGGCTAGCTATGGATAATCAAACTTAGATAAAATAGAGATGAACTCCTTTTCCATTGGTCTCTTTAAAAATAAAATTGAAATGCCTATATATCCTTATGGAATGGCATTAACATTTCTATTTGCTTCTTTTGTTTCAACATATAAGCGGTTTAATTTTTTTACGTAATTTTATGTAATATTTTTTAAAAATGATGTTTAATAATTTAAATTGTATATTGAAAATACATTTTATTTTATAAATTTATTAAAATATTTTTAATAAAATAATATAAAAAATAATTTAATTAAATATATTTTAATAAATTTATAAATGCCTATATATCCTTATGGAATGGCATTAACAT